GCGCATATATCTTCCTGAGGAGCAGCGCAAGTTCTCTTTCACGCTTTTAAAAACATGAATAAATATACTTATATAAATCAAGCACGTCCCATTTTGCAAAAGTCACGTTACATGATTTTACTGATTTGCACGTGAAAATAGGCTTTTATGGAGGAACGAAAGTGCAGTGCTGGAAAAGGGGGCGGAATGGGGGCGTAATAATCGTTTTGTCTCGATTATTGTATTTTCATAATCGTTGGAGGTGAAATCGAAATTGTTTTTCCGATTAATTGCACAGCCCTAGTTGCCATACTGTATTAAAGCTTTAATCAGGATAAAACCGTATATTAAAAGCTAACATAAGCAGTAGCATTTAGTGGGGCTTCATAAAAGCAGGAAATGATCAGCCCGTTTCTCAGAAAAGTGACAGAACGGTGTGTAATAAAGGTAAATTATGTGAAAAATAATGCGTTTTTTTTTAAAACGAAGCATTAACACACGTTAGACTGTACCCCATAAACACAATCAAGCGTAGAAAAAAAACAGTGAACCACCCCTTTAAGAAATGTTTATTGAGCTCCGAAGCATATTAGAATGACTTCTAAAGACTGGAGTAATGGCTGCTGAAAATGTTAAAAATATTCAAAATTACAAAATATACTGTATTACTGTATTAGCACTTTGAGTATGAGAAAGGCTTATTACAAATAACATTAATTTTATTTATTATTATTATTAAATTATGAAATTGTTGCTTTTACTGTATTTATGATCAAATAACTGCAGCCTTGGTGAGAATAAAAGTTTTTCAAAAACATTTAGAAATCTCGAACCCCAAACTTTGGAACATAGTGTATATAGATAATCAGTTGCCTGGGACAATGGTCAGTTATACAGTTTAGAATATTATACAATAATATGTGACTGCAGAATTATGACAGACAGCTATGCAATAAATTGTCCTAATGAGGGTGCATTTATTTTTTCCCATTTGAATCAAATCAAAAAACAACATAACAAAAAGGGAAAAAAGAGCAGGATATTTTTTTACTGTTACTTTACCACAAAAAGACAAGAGAAAATAAAACATTATCCAGTATTTTGCACAGGTGTAAATAGTGTAACCAGGGCAGTTGCAAAATCCCAAATAAACTGGACCACCTGCCCTTTCCCACATGGACACATTCTCTTTGATTCTCATGCCATAAAAACAATGGAACCCCTGCGAGAGCTTATTCTGCTGTATATCACACACCCAAAAGCTGCTACATTTTTATCCGCAACAGAATTCCACCTAAACAACATACAAATCTGCCCCGAGATGTTTTCGCAAATGACTGCAAAACAGGAAGCCAAACACTGAAGCGTGTTAGGCAGTTACTGCACAGCTTGAGGCATATACAAGCTGTCGTATGTCAGAAACGTGGCAGGCAGGGTATCAGAACGACAATAGGGAAACAACTGGGGTGATATTAGACAGAGCGGGGGAAGTTGGGACGGGGGCTGACTGCGTGGGACTGACCTTGGAGCGAGGAGGGGCACGGATGTACCACTTGCAGTCCACTGCCTCAGTCGGCAAGGCTTTGCCGTCTTTGGTGATCTGCTGTGATTCAATGATGCCTTCAGGTCCTCCCATCTCGAATTCACAAACTGCAGCGGGGGTGACATAAGGAGACAAATTACAAAAAATGGAAAGCCATTAGATGTATTAATATGGAGGATTCTTATACACGAATGAATAATACCCACAGGGAAGAGGTTTGGGGACTCCTATGTCTTTAAAGTCAGGATCTGAAAAAAAGAAATAAGATAGGATATAAAAACAGACTTAATTCAGATAACCAATAACCATAAATATCATACTGTGTTAGATCAACTGAACCATTCAACGTACAATCGACGCAATTGATGTTTAAAAAATGATGCAGAGTTGCAGTTTGAAGTGCATTCTTTCAAAGTGGCATGAACAGGAAGGAAGCATTCAATAAACAGTGATTAAACAGCTCAATTAGCAATAGCTTCCAGTATTTCTCATTTCACTGCTCTGTAGAGGCTTGTGAAAAAAATTTAGTTTTCCACATACTGTACATTATTGTTTCTCCTCTATGCCCCGCCTTTCTAAAACGCGTCGATTTTTACAAAGCTCATCGGTCTGAAAAAGCGAGGTGTGCTGTGATTGGCCAGCTATCCAATGCGTTGTGATTGGCCGAATACTTCAAGTGTGTGACGGAAATGTTACGCCCCTTACCATACTGCGATGCCCTGTCCGGCTGGAGCGACGAGACAAAAACATTAAAACCCATTATAAACGAGGCATTTGTTGCATCCAGTGGGGACATAATTATGGATTATAATGACTTATACTGTCTTTTTACGCGTTGCGTTGCAACATAAAACCATGTCTGCATTTGTGATCGGAGAAATGACAAACAACAAGTGCTACTCTACACTGCAATTGTTGCTTTTACTGTATTTATGATCAAATAACTGCAGCCTTGGTGAGAATAAAAGTTTTTCAAAAACATTTAGAAATCTCGAACCCCAAACTTTGGAACATAGTGTATATAGATAATCAGTTGCCTGGGACAATGGTCAGTTATACAGTTTAGAATATTATACAATAATATGTGACTGCAGAATTATGACAGACAGCTATGCAATAAATTGTCCTAATGAGGGTGCATTTATTTTTTCCCATTTGAATCAAATCAAAAAACAACATAACAAAAAGGGAAAAAAGAGCAGGATATTTTTTTACTGTTACTGTACCACAAAAAGACAAGAGAAAATAAAACATTATCCAGTATTTTGCACAGGTGTAAATAGTGTAACCAGGGCAGTTGCAAAATCCCAAATAAACTGGACCACCTGCCCTTTCCCACATGGACACATTCTCTTTGATTCTCATGCCATAAAAACAATGGAACCCCTGCGAGAGCTTATTCTGCTGTATATCACACACCCAAAAGCTGCTACATTTTTATCCGCAACAGAATTCCACCTAAACAACATACAAATCTGCCCCGAGATGTTTTCGCAAATGACTGCAAAACAGGAAGCCAAACACTGAAGCGTGTTAGGCAGTTACTGCACAGCTTGAGGCATATACAAGCTGTCGTATGTCAGAAACGTGGCAGGCAGGGTATCAGAACGACAATAGGGAAACAACTGGGGTGATATTAGACAGAGCGGGGGAAGTTGGGACGGGGGCTGACTGCGTGGGACTGACCTTGGAGCGAGGAGGGGCACGGATGTACCACTTGCAGTCCACTGCCTCAGTCGGCAAGGCTTTGCCGTCTTTGGTGATCTGCTGTGATTCAATGATGCCTTCAGGTCCTCCCATCTCGAATTCACAAACTGCAGCGGGGGTGACATAAGGAGACAAATTACAAAAAATGGAAAGCCATTAGATGTATTAATATGGAGGATTCTTATACACGAATGAATAATACCCACAGGGAAGAGGTTTGGGGACTCCTATGTCTTTAAAGTCAGGATCTGAAAAAAAGAAATAAGATAGGATATAAAAACAGACTTAATTCAGATAACCAATAACCATAAATATCATACTGTGTTAGATCAACTGAACCATTCAACGTACAATCGACGCAATTGATGTTTAAAAAATGATGCAGAGTTGCAGTTTGAAGTGCATTCTTTCAAAGTGGCATGAACAGGAAGGAAGCATTCAATAAACAGTGATTAAACAGCTCAATTAGCAATAGCTTCCAGTATTTCTCATTTCACTGCTCTGTAGAGGCTTGTGAAAAAAATTTAGTTTTCCACATACTGTACATTATTGTTTCTCCTCTATGCCCCGCCTTTCTAAAACGCGTCGATTTTTACAAAGCTCATCGGTCTGAAAAAGCGAGGTGTGCTGTGATTGGCCAGCTATCCAATGCGTTGTGATTGGCCGAATACCCCTGGGCTGGACTCTGCTTCGTCCAAGGTGAAAGCTGATCCGGCGATCAACAGCGCGAAGTTGATGCATTTCCTCAGCGACCAGCACGGATCAGCTCCAGGCATGACGAAGCAGATATTGTCCTCTTTTGGATGGCCAATCAAAGTAGTTTCGCTTTCACAACGAAACACACAGTGCCTTCACGACATGGCGGAGGCTGCAACAACAATACTACAGCGAGAATAAAAATTACGCCTTCTTTCTTTGCGTGAACATTTGAGCGGCGTTATGCAAATCTTCTCACATCGTGACGCAGACATGTGGGGGCGTGTTAGAACGAGCTGTTTTAGGTAGGCGTGGTTGACTCTTAACTTTTATAAAGAATATCTCTTTGGATTTGAGACTTTAGTCTTTGCAACTTTACAGATCTTCTTTATGCACCAAGAGCTTGTAACACTCCAGAGAAAAAGGAAAAATTTAAATTGCATCATATGACCCCTTTAAAAGAAAGCAGGAAAGTGTTCGTTTGTATTCCTTTACCACAGTCATTGGTTCTTCCAAAACTAATGAACATACTCATCCTAAACTTTTATTTATAATACCACAAAACTCCTTATTATTTATCAGTATTCAATATCCATGAAATACCTTTAACAATATAGTCATCTTTTCCATTTTTGTGGTTCTCAAACTAATATTAGGTTTATTATTGGCACCTATGGGCTGGAGTGTGAGTCTTAGCAAAAGAGTGCTGCAGGAAAACCCAGAAACAAGTAAGCATTTTAGCACTTCCAATTCCATCGTCCCAAAATCAATGGGTTTTGCAAATGGTTAAATTAGTGAAATAAAGTTAGTGGCTCAAGATAATTTCAAGTTTTATTCTACAACATAAAATACGTCAGTAATACCCTACTCATGATTTTTTTAAAAGCTTTTATGTTTCTGGAAAATGGTGGTTGTTAACACCTGGATAAATGGGACTATAGAGGTTACTGAGGACAGTAAATGCCATCATGCCAAACAGGTAAACTCATCTATTCACCAGTACACTTTTACAGCCTTGTTGCGTTTGTACTCACACTCATACAAACTACTCAAACCCAAACTTTCATGAAAAATGTTTTTTTTTTTTTTTTAAATAAAGACCTGAAGAGTTGTCTAAAAGCTTAACGGTGGAGACGTTAAAGTTATGCAATGGCGGTGTTTCTTATTTATAGCCTACGTTTAGCATTTTACTTTAGGCAAAATTTAGGCTTCAAAATTCATAAAAGTTTTTTTTTTTTCTGAATATTATTTTAATGAACAAAATGTGTAAGAACCTTAAACGTTTGTTGGTCACACGACTTATTTTCTGCTATAATCCAAAAGCCAATGGAAAAATCCTATTGGGTTTTTGTCAAGGGAACCAGGGTGATGTTAACTATCAGGTTGGCCTACAACAAACAACAACATCACTGCTCCACTCTAAACAAAACCTCTACTTCAGTAAAAATAACTTCAATACTATAAATTGTATTGATCATAACTGTTGTCCTTAAATAACTTAAAGAAACATTTAGACATAAACCTGCTGTGAAGCATTATGTAACAGTACTTTCAGTGAAATCTCCTCAGTACCCAATTGCTCTCAACACTTCTCTTTATAGAATTCCTTCATTTTCAAATGCTCACATTCTCTGGAGATCCACATTCATTTCAAATACCAGACTCAATCCAACAATAGCAGCTAAGAGCAGAATACCTAAGGTGCAAGATATTATTGTATCCAACAATACAGTTTAATCTAGCCAAACTTTAAAAATATGGTCCTCACTGCAGCTTATTCTGATCAAAAACGGCACACTTGGACAGGAAGAGATTGACTGACATGAAACGCAACCAAACACACATGTTGTTTTTAAGTGCCATGTAAGGGTGTTAGGGAAATACTGATTATTTCACAGACATAGGTCTGAAAACAATACAAAATATACTAGGCCTGGGTGTTAGTTTAGATTTTCTGATTAAATTCAACACAATTCCGATGCAATAAGCTTTCAATTCCAATCTGATTCAGTTATAATGTCCATTCTTGCTGGCAAATTAAATAAATTCTCTCTGCTAACGCAGTAAATTTGATCAGTTTATAACTGATTCAAACTGGCAACTTTTTTGGAACTATTCATTAAGAAGAACTGACTCACAAGAGTCTTTTTGACAATCAGTCTACACTGGTCGCTTTAAAACTGATTCACTAAAGAAATTGCCATTTTTGGTACAATAACCCCATTCAGTGAACAGCATGGGTTTGCTGTCTGCCAACACAATTTTTATGTCTCATGTTTCAATACAGCCCTACTCTTCATCCTAACATAAATGAAAATATTCTATCAGAAGCAGCATTGTGCTACACAGAACTAATAGGTGGACAGTTGAATTACTCTCACCCCTCTATGATTAGATGGGCTTATATTTAGTATGGGTGATATTTCGCTCTGTGATCCCCCCGTTCACTCTGATATTCATACATGGACAGAGACAGTGGCATTCACAGAATCGAATCTCATTGAAGATGACTTCTCTTAGAAAAGACACACGTACATACATACAAACATGAGCCTGAACCCGTTCAGAGAGGATTGGATTGTACCTCAGTTACCTTTACTGAAGAGACTAATTGATTTGTGGATTGATCTGGTGTAAACGGCTGATTTATTTCTCTGTCATTTCATCCTCCTGTGAGCACTTATGTGGGTCACTGTGTGTGTGATCGCAGAGGACACCCATCACTATTATGACATATTCACTCCTATTTTGGAACACAGGCACGTGGTTCCTGGCAGTATGAGAGTGTAGGATATGAAGCAAGACATTAATCCTACACTTTTGTAGCATTACAAGTCCACTTATAATGTTAGTCAAGGTTTCGTACAGCAAAAACAATTGCAATTTAGTTGCACGGCCATTATTTCATACTGTACCTTTAAGACTTCTTTATAAATTATCTCTGTTGTGATTGGCTAATCTTGGCATGCCAGTGTTGCTTATTAGTTTGGGGTCAAAGGGTCAAGGTATGGCTAGTTAGCATGCAAATTTATTGTAAAGTTTCTGTGCAACCCATCTTTGTTTAACATTTCACAAATTGCATATGCTCCTCAACATCCACACTGAGAATTCAGATCAGGCCTTGAACCAGCAGATGCACTCAAGTAATGTAGGATGAAAAAAGAACGAATGAGAAAGATTACATTACAGAACTAGGGTAGGGTAACACACGAGAGAAAAGAGATTAATTGGCAGAAATAAGATAAAATGATTGATCAAAGAAGGGAATGGTGTGGAAACAGGATCTGGGCTCTGCCATCTACATTCTCACTCTGTGGCTATTCACATAGCAGAACATATCTAAAGGGAGTCACAACAGTTATACAAATTTTTAGGACTTACAACAGAATTTTGAGAGTGAGTTCAGGTAGCTTGTACTATGTAAACAGAACCGCAATGGACAACTAGTTGTTCTGTTTATTATACTGTATTATAAAATTCTGCTTGTCTCATGCATGAAAGCTTTAGATCCATTTGCTGTAGTTAAATCCAATTTGAGCCTCGTTGTGTTATTATTAAATAAAGTTTGTATGATAAGAAAATAAAGGTTCCAAAAGAGGTTTTCATAGTGATTCAATAAAATAACCATTTTGGGTTCCCAAAGAACCCTTCTTGTCACACTTATCAAAAGAACCATTTTTTTTCTTAGTGTGGAGAATATTTCAATAATCTGAAGAACCTTTGTACAATGGAAAGGTGCCACACTCTTAAAAATAAAGGTTGCAAAAAGTTTTTTTTTTTTTTTTGCAGTGATTCCATAGAAGAACGTCTCGGTTACTTGTGTAACCCTCGTTCCCTGAAGGAAGGAATGGAGACGTTACGTCAGTCGTGACTGACGAATTGGGATCTCGCCCGAGAGCCCAATCACCTTCGAGTGTTAACTAAACAAGCCAATGACAGTTGGCGTGCGTGTTTCGCC